CAAATATTTCCCAAGTTCCCCCCCCCCCTCCTTCGGTGAGCCTCCCGAGGTTCTTTCTTTCTTTTCTTCGACGCCTTCCCGGCGGGCCGTCCTTCCTGCGCCGCCGCCTCTCCCTTGGACGCTGGTGGAACTTCCCAAGTCTCAAATTAATTCGCTACGCGACGAAACGGGCGGCTAAAACTGGCGGCGCCCCAAACAGTCCCCGGACGGACGGAGGTGCTTAAAACTCTTCGACAACACCCCCTCCCCCGGGTCTGTGGGCGACGCTCGCTAAATGGCCCGGGCGATTGTAGAAAAGAAATGCTTCTCCGCATATATCTCCTTGCCCGGGAATGTGGGTCTCTCCCACTGAACCGCCTTCCGTTCAGCTTGTTTTTTATTTCAAAAGGACGGGGTGGGAGATTTCGTTTGATGCCTAATGGGGGAGCCTGCTTTAGCGGGGGACTTTTTGCGAAAGGTGTTTCCAACGCGGACGGGCTGACACCTTTCTGTTTGGAGCGAATGTCCTGTTAGGGAAGCGCTTGTGATTTCCCAGTAAGTGTTCCAAATGGATTTCCAAGAGGGATTTGGCTCCCGTTTCAGCAAAAAAACAAAAACAGAAACGTTGCAACAAAATCAAAAGCAGGACAATAAGCTAGTTCCCTTAAGAGTCATCTTTAAAAATAATGCTTTTCATTAAAATACACACGCGGCTTGCCTTTTCCAGATGGGACATTTCCCCGTTTTGACTGGAACAGGGTAGTGCATCTGCCGGGTTGAAGTAATTTTTTCCTGCAAATGTTTGTGGTACTTCTCTAAAAGAAATAAGGATATTTGATCTTTTTTAAAAAAAATCACAAAAATAAATCCACTTGTAGTGGATGGAGGAGACAGAACGATCCTGATGCTCAATTACTTGACGCCAGTACCTCAGAAGGAAACTGTACTGATTTTTCAAGCCCTTCTAAAGAATTCCCAAAAGGGGGATACAAAATTTATCATCGCAACAATAACACAGATCCCTGAAGGAGGTAAAGAGGGTGTAGTAAGCATAACAATTACCTAAGAGATAACCAAGTTATGATTAAAATTATATTTTCCTTTCCTGATGGTACCTTTTTTTTTCCTGTTCATTTTTCTTGTTAGCCTACTTAAAAGAAATTGTTTCTTGCAAACATATCCCAAGCTTTCTCTCTCTCTCTCCCTCCCTCCCTCCCTCCCCCTGGAAGGATGTTTTATTGTGTTTTTAAAAATGGCTTGCATATGATTCTGCCATTATAAAAAATTAACGTGGATTCTAAAGCAGGAAAGCCTTTGATGAATGGAAGGGAAAATAGCAAATGTATTTAAGAATAGCAAATCTCAGTGTCCCCCCCCCCCCCTTTTGGCAGTTTCTAGAAACCAGGGCCTCATTCCGAAGAGGTTCTTCGGCTTTTAGGAACTTGGTGGAATGAAGGCATGCCATTTTTGTGCGGGTGCAGCTTGCAGTAATAATGAGGCCTAATGAGGTTGTTAAAAAGATAACATGTTCTTTACCCAAACACCTGATGGGCTCCTTGCTTTACTGCTGATGATAAAACATCTATTGATTGAAAATAAATCACTTCTTCTGGAGGCTTACAACAAGGGGGGGGGAGATCGTGTTTGGCTCTCTGCAGATGAAAGGATTTTTGGGGAGATGAAGGAACGGAGGGGAAAAATAAAATACAGGTCTGGTGGAAGGGTCACATTTGAAGCATTTGAGCAAAAGAGTCTGCGTGGCTCAAGTTGGGCAGGACTAGTTGCAGTGGGAGAGGATCCGGAAGGGTCCTTCCTTCGTCCACATTCCAGCCCCTGGGATTTCCACGGGCTCTGCTCTGGCTGGGATGGCGCCTTTGCAAGGAGCCCCCTTTCAGCGTCGCCCTGTTCTTCTCTCCTCCCCATCTCTTCTCCTTTGTGAGCCGATTTTTTCCAAGGCTGCTGGGGCTGGGCAGGAGTTGGCCCTGCCGCCTGTCTGTTGCAGCAGATGTGTGCCCCAGTAGCCTGCGATGTGCTGACATTATCTCTCTTGATGTGGGTCAGTGCTCTTTTCAGGTGGCCCTGCTTAGTTGGAACAGCACGATAAATATTGCCTCTCGGATGTGGATTTGGGGAGGGGATAAGGCTGGATTGGAGGACCTGATGGTTAGAGAGGGAGACTCTTTTTTTTTTTGCAGGTGATCAGAAAGATGCATCTCTGTCTCTCTCTCTCTGTCTCTCACTCTCTGTCTGTCTGTCTCTCTGTCTCTCTCTCTCTCTGTACCACAGTCATTCATGAAAGCTGGTGGCCTGAAACAGGAAAAGCCTGTGAAAAGGTCGCTCTCAACCAATGTCCTCATTCTTGCTTTTCTCCCCCCCCCATCTGAATACGTTGCAGGGTTCCCAGTATGAACTGAAGGACAACCCAGGCGTCCACCCTGCCACTTTTGGTGCTCACACCACCCCTGGTTATTACCCGTATGGACAGTTCCAATATGGTGACCCTGGAAGGCCCAAGAATGCGACCCGGGAGAGCACCAGCACGCTGAAGGCCTGGTTGAACGAGCACCGCAAGAACCCCTACCCGACCAAGGGCGAGAAATTCATGCTGGCCATCATCACCAAGATGACCCTCACGCAGGTCTCCACCTGGTTCGCCAATGCCCGCCGCCGACTCAAGAAGGAGAACAAGGTGACGTGGGGGTCGCGGAGCAAAGATCAAGAGGATGGGAACCTCTTCGGGAGTGACAACGAGGGGGATCCTGAGAAGAACGAAGACGACGAAGAGATAGACCTGGAAAGTATTGACATTGACAAAATAGACGAGAATGACGGGGAGCAGAGCAATGAGGAAGAGGAGGAGAAGGTGGAGCTCCTGAGGCAAAGTAGTGAAGAGGAGCATTTGGAGAAAGAGAAGGCTTTGCCACTGTCTGGGCCGGAAGGACTTAAGCCCAAAGAGGCCCTGTCTGTGGTGAAGGAGGTCACAGACAATGCGACCCAAATCCTGGGCCCCAGCAGACAAAGCAATCTGCAAGGGGCCCCTCACCACAAACCCAAAATCTGGTCCCTGGCAGAGACGGCAACCAGCCCTGATGGGGCCCTCCACAAGCCGACACCTCCTTCGCCTCCCGCCCAGGGGAACCACACGCCCCCCCAGCTCCAGCACCCGGCCTTCCTCCCCAGCCATGGACTTTACACCTGCCAGATTGGCAAGTTTCATAACTGGACTAATGGGCCCTTCCTCACGCAGAGCTCCTTGTTAAATGTGAGGTCCTTTTTGGGAGTTAACCACCACCACCACGCGGCGCATCACAACCACCATCTCCAGGCCCAACCACAGCCGTCCATGTTAACGGCGCTCAGCACTGAAAAGCCATCAGAAAGGACCAGCCCCAAACACATAGGTAAGGAGAGCAGGCGTGGGGCTGCCTGTGGGCTGCTTGCTGGGAAGTCAGTCCCCCTGAGTTGCCCCCGTGGGGCAGACTCCTGAACAAATCTCCTCGCTGGACCCACATGGGGCTGTTCTAAACACCTGTCCCACGAAGGGTTTTTATTTGGTGGGTGGGGCTGAGTGCTGCTGCACCTGTGTGACCATCCTGTGCTTTCTGAAGCCTCATGAGGACTGGTCTCGCTGCTTTTTGAAAATGGAGGCTGACACAACTCCCATCTGCTGCTTAAAACAGAGGCATCTTTTTAAATCGATACCCTGATCACTCTCTAACCTGTGACTCCTGAGAAAGAGGCAGGTGTGTCAAATGGCCTTTGTGGGAGAAGACAAATTATTAACAAATGAATGGAAATGGTTATATCCTGTGGCTCAAGGGCAGGGCCGGCTCACTCACTAGGTGAACTAGGCGATTGCCTAGAGCGGGAAGGCCCTTAGGGGCACCAAACTGCACCCGGCCCCGTACTCTGGGAGTTTCTTGATTATTTGTGTTTTTTATTCTTCCTAAAATGCATTTCTTTTTGAAAATTGGTGGGCGCACGGGGGGGGGGGCATAAGGGATCCTTGCCTAGGGTGCAAAATAAGCTGGAGCCGGCCCTGTTCAAGGGACAGGGAAACTCTTCAAGATACCAGAGACCCCTCCCCCCTTTTGGTGCTTGGTGCCATGTAGAATGACACTACCAGTAGCCATCTTAACACAGATGCAGTGCTTTTTGCTTGTTCAGTATGTTTCACAGACATTATTTCTGTGCAACAGCCCTGTAGGGTTGGTCAATATTTCTTTCTTTGTGTGGCCCATGGGAGAGCCCCTGAGCAGAGAGAGAGGGAGGCTGGCTCCCCTAAGGTCACCAAGAGGGGTCACAGTAGAGCCACAGTTTTAAGCAGGGACTTTCTGGTTCACAGCACGCTCGGTCGACTAGTAATTCATCCCATGCACACCTAATTGGGAGAAAGCCCCACTGAACTCAGTGAGGGTGACTTTCTGAGTCTACGTATGTCGGTTCGGGTTGCAGCAGGCCCCAGTGCCAGCCCCATTCTCCGGCGGTGCCCCCTGAATTTCGCTGTGGTGGCGGAGAAATCCTTCCTTTGTTTCCCTAAATCGATCTGCCTGTGTTGTGTCTGGCAAATTTAGTTAAGAGGTTTTCTTTCTTTCTTTCTTTCTTTCTTTCTTTCTTTCTTTCTTTCTTTCTTTCTTTCTTTCTTTCTTTCTTTCTTTCTTTCTTTCTTTCTTTCCCCCTGCAGAAAGAGAAAACATCCCGAGGACTGACTCTCCGCCTCAACCATTAAAATCCCCCTTCCGGGCTGTCCGGGACAAGTGAGTTCTTGTTCACTGAAATTTACTTAAAGGAAAGAAAGTGCATGGCTAATACAAACGAATTCAAGCACACCTTCTTTCTCATAAAACCAAAACAATCCTTCTGTAAAGCTTTCTGAACATGGCAGAAACTGACAAACTGTATGCTTTAGCCTGCAAGTTTTCTCTGTTTTTTAAATCCTGACCCGCCCCCCCCAATCAAGTTGCTATTGCTATTGTGTAAAATAATGATCCCTCGCCTGTTCTCGAATGCAGATGGGCGACCGTAGCTGAGCTTTGACTGATAGACCGTTCTGTCTTTTCTTCCCAACAGCTCTTTGAGTCAGCAAGAGGGAACATCGTGAATTTTAACAACTCTTCCTTCTGCTTGATTAATTTTTTTTTGAGTGGAAAAGAAAATTTCGCAGACTGTTCTAAAGGACAGAACAAAAAAAATGGGAATGCTCTAAATGACTCCCATCAATCTCGTTTTTGCAATAAGGTGGTACCAATCCATTAAAAAATAGATTTTTCCAGCTCCCTAACAGGATTATTCCTTTTTTTTCTGTTGTTCCATTTCCAGAATGTGTAATTTTAACCATGACTGGATCACTTGTTTTTTGGTAAAAAAAAAAGAAAATATCCCCATGTGTTTGTGTTATTTTTTTTCTGTATATAAAGTGATTTCAAATTGTAAATATTGCCACAGCAAAAACTTGTTGAAATCATATATTTTTGTCTAATAAAGAAAATGAAATGATGAGGCTCTTTCTGCAGAGGTGGATTTTGGGTCTACTGAAGCAAATTCATGAAGCTCTTGAGAGGCTTTTGTGGTCCCCACCTTAGCAAGGCAAGGGGTCCTTTCAGTCCAGTGGACAGCACAATCCGCTCAAATGTTACTGGATTAATCTCGGGGCATGGCAGACATTATAAATCATTGGATCCATGAGGAAGTGGTGTGCTTGTTGATTTGGTGAGGCTATTTTGGTTATGTTTTGGTGCTATTTTGTTATAGCGAATGAGAAAGATAATATTATTCCCCCCCCCCCCAACAATGATTGGTAGCTTTTCAATGTTTAAAATCCTATTTAATATTTCCTTTTAAAAAGGCTCCTCTGTCCAGATATGCAACTGCATTTTAAAACCAGTGAACAAACCAATTAATATTTTAAAAGGCAGGCTAAAACTTTTCCACTTGGCAGACAAGCATTTAATATTCGTGAAAAATCTCCAACATGTATTGCGCCTTTTGGAACGGAGTCTTTTGCATTGATCTGGTAAGACAATTTCTTTTTCTTTTTCTTTTAAAAAATATAGTGTCTGTTAGCTGCACATTTCGCGCTGGTTAAGTAGGCAGATCTGTCTTGAAAGAGGGAGGTTGCTTAAAAAATCCCCCCCCCCGGGTCACGGATACCAAAAACGGCCCTGGGCGAATTGTTTTCCAAAGCAGGCCTCATGTCCAACGAGTGGTGATGGATGTGCCCCCCACTCTCGAATCATTTCACTGGGAACTCAGATTACCAATATTGTTCTGCCGGCAGAAAGTAGGGGAAGCTCTCCTCGTTCCCGGGAGGGGTGGGAAAGCGAGATAAGGGGAAATCAGGCCCAGGCTCTGTTGAGGCAGCAGGGACCTCCGGAAGGCGTCGGTTGGCCAGCGCCCCCCCCCCCTTCTTATGCGGTGACGGTAGAAACCCGCGCAGGCAACGGAGGAAAGCCGCCCCGCGCTCAGGAACGAAGGGAAGACCGAACCTCCCCCCAAAGCCTGGCTAATCTCCCCAGGAGGAGCCCTCCGGGGGAAGGGAAGGAAGCGGGTCTCTTCCCGAGCGCCCGTCTCCCGCCCGCCGCCCCGACGTCTCCCCCCTGCCTCGGTGCGGCCGCTGAAATGAGCATTGAGGTGCTAATCAGAGACCAGATGGTTGCTGACGGTGGGAAATGGGAAGCAGCAGCTGGGGGAGTCATTAAAAAACCATGCCGGGGAGAGGAGACGCCGCTGCCGCCGCCGCGTCCGGGCGCCCCATCCGCCGCGCGGGACTCGCGAGTCGGCCGGGCGGGCGGGGAATGGGCCTCGTGGGCTTTATTCGCAAAGTGGGGAAAGAAGAGGGGGGGGAGGCGAAAAAGGGCCTGCGTGGGTGCCCCCCGCACCCCCGGCCCGGCAGGGCATCCCGCCTGGCGCTGCCTTTGCCGGCGGCGCCCGGCGGGACTGACCCTCGAGGACGTGCGGGGGCGCTCCACCCCAGCTCTCCAAGGCTGCGATCAGGCAGGCGAAAGAATGCCCTCTCACGCCACTTTCCGACGGGCGTTTTGCCAGTTCGCGCAGTAAACGCCAGTTGGAAAGTGCACCGAAAGCGGACTGAACGTGTGGATGAATAAGTACGTGCGAGGTGAAGCCCGTCGCGGGCAGAGAAAGGCAGCGCTTGTCTACTCGGAAGTCAGGTGCCCTCAGCCCCATGGGGCTGCGTAGAGCAAGCAGGCCAACCCCTCCCCCCCCCGCGGGTCCCGGACAGGCGCCTCCTGGCTGCAGGCCGCGACGTTGTTTTTTTTGGGGGGGGGGGGGGGGGGGGGGGGGTGGCCCAAGAA